GCTTTTGAGCCTATAGTCCGAAGTTCGAATCCCGCCACCCAGCTTTGGTGGTGTTTGGCTCTGCTGTCGTCCGGTTCAATATGGCCTTCTGTGGTTCGTCACTCCAAGTCCCGGGGCGTGAGGTGCAGGTTTTCATCACCGACTATGGGGTTCTGAATATATTCGCCTTTAACCGCTTGTGGTAATCGTATAGAACAGGTGATTTTGATTGAAACTGACCGTCTTTCAGACTTAAGCGTCACGCACAATCCCCGGTTCATCCCATGTATCTGATTGGCTGTATCAACTGAGGATTATTGATACGGTTGAATTTTGAAGGTAAATCAGTGTGATCGTAGTTTCGTTATTCATTGGATTAAAGCTGCATCCGTAAGCAATATAATTTTTTTTTACTGTGCTCAGCAGAAGGATGAACTCAGCGAAATCGCGGGAACTGCATTTACAATTAGGAGTGGATAAACACATATACACAAACTCTTCGCTCATCACCTTTTAGCCTTCACCTTGAGTTCAACGAACACCAGAGGCTCCTGATGGCCGAAACTAGCTTTAGGATTAAAAAGATATGATTTTGAACATCATGCTTATGCCAAAGTATAAATTGCTTTTCGGATGCCATTCCTAGTTACCTTTATCAATTACAGTTCGTTAATTATTATAATTATATCTCCTCGGTAGTTCAATTTGTTTCGGCCAAGTATTATTTCATTTGCATCAACCCCTATCCTCACAGCTGCAGCTAAGTAGTCATTTTGATGATTTTTGCTTTCTTCAGTGACAACTGAAACCGATCGATATATTTGTTACGGCGGCTTCGGTCGCACTAATGCAGCCGTTTTCAGTCATGACCTTAGCGAATGCTTATTTCCATCACATGATGCTGTGGTTATCATGTTATCACATAAGCTGAATCCACCTTTGGTACACCAGCACACCAGCTCAAACAGTCTCGCTTTCCTCATTTGGAGGCTTCATCCACACGATCAAGTGCGTTCGATATTCTTGCCGTTGTGAAATTCGTCCAACTATCACCTTTATTGTATTGGCTTGCCCACTATATCCGTTCCAGGTTATACATATTGTCGCATTCCAATGAATCCAGATTCTCTCACTCTGCTACAAAAACCTACTTCATACTTCAGTCGCTGACAGTAGTCCGCCTTAATACAGCCCGTTTGACCATTTAGTTATACGGCCAATCAGATAACCGGTTTCTAATGCCGAGTTACTGTATTCCAGACTGACCATTCATTTAACATCACATGATCTTACAGGTCATTACTGTGACTAGTTCGTAGGCGCGCGCAGACGCATGCGCTTGTGCTCTAACCGCCACACATGACCAAAAAATCGACTGTTACGTTTTCTGCCCTCTACCCAAAGCGAACTATAGTCTGTTGCTTGCTACGGTCACCCCCATCCAACATTGGTAACCGGGTGTGATCGACTGTCCCACCATCGTCTATGGTGTGTTTAGCCTATAGGTTCTTGCGCATGCATAAAATGAAAAGATACTGCTCCTGTGCCTGTGCACCTAAACTGGGCGAGACGGCACTTAACAGTGATTATATCGGTGCCTTTCAACTACTGATTATATCTTCGGTAGTCCTACTGAGATTTTGACCTGAATGTTTTAAGGATGCGGCTGTTTTGGTGTTCTGGAGTTTGGCAATTAGATTGCAAACGTTTCATTACAAACCTAGGTGACATTCTGAAGTTATTAGGTGAGTGCTTACGAGTATCCAACATTGCTTAGGTGAATAGGTGGATACTTTTTAATTTTCACTTCCTTTGATTGAATACACAATAAAACTTTCAGGAAGGGGGAAGCGGCCAATCAAAGGGCTGCCATACGACGCACAAATGGGTAAAGTTAGGCGGTGGTGGTGGCATAAGAACGCGCGTCCACCGGGTTGATAATTTAGTGAAGTTACCACCGGGCCACCCCCGCCCATGCCTGATGAGCGGCAGTAGTCGCAAAATCGGTGGTGTGTTTCTGGCGTATCCAGTCGTTCATATAGTTCTTACTATAAAATCGCCGTAAATGATTCTAGATATCGAGTTTACTGAGTTTAAGTACTTCCGTCCGCGCTGGTGTAGGTATATATACTATATTATTATGGTATATATATATATATACTACATACACCCACAATCATATTGCAGAACCATCGTAATAATCACTCGGACTGAATTGTCACGGAGTTGTGCAAATGAAGGTATTGCACTCTAGCAATTCATTCGGTTAACTGAGGTCTCAAACCTCTCACTAATTCAGCTCTTTAATTCGGAGGCTTGGTAAAATAACTCATTTAAACTTACTAGTCTAGATTTAATCCACATTTTATTCACATTTATTTGTCAGTGGTGATGTGAGATATTTGTTATTGATTTTCATTGACCATTGATCAAAAGTTCGTCTACCATGGATACGTCCGAGCAAGCGGTTTGCGGTATCCGTCCATCATTTCCTGATGCTTGTATTCGGATCCCGGCACCTTCACCCTATTACTCACTTGTCATTTAGCGACTCTCTGTTCTCCGTAACCCCTTTTTCGGATATTGATCGTATGACAGTTTTTTGTCAAATAAATGGAAGTGGAAACTTTATTGATGCTAATGAAAGTGTGCATAAAGAGACTGGTCCCCTCTGGCGATATCTTCTTAAAATTTGATGATTCAGTCTCATTGTGCATCAAACATCTACCGTTCATTTAGATTATACATACATATAAAGACATATTTGTAAATTTGTGTTTAAACTTTATTCGGTTAAATGTTTTGAATGTTGTTTTGTCCATTTCTTTCCGTTTCACTGCAATCAGCTGCGGAAGCGGCGGCGTTTCTGGCGTCTGACGAGCGACCAACGGAGAATTTCCCACGTCGTTTACGCATCCTGCGTATGTGGGCTAAACACCGTTTAATTCAACGCTTCATTGTGGTACGTTGCCTTTGATCTGCCATACGGGTTAATTGAATTTGTGCACTTAAGAAAAGAAGCTCTTTTCATACCACCTATTCTGTTTGGTTTCGGTGAGCACTAGTTGGCGCAATGATGGCACACACGCCTTCCATCCGAAGTGTCAGCAGTTGCGACCGGTGGATATACAAAAGTTAGTCTCGAATAAAAGTGGACCGAATTTAGTGAAACTACGGAGAATATATGATCAATGGAGAATAATTTGTGAAGATGGATGCTATAGGATAGTCAGTCAATATCAAATTTATATTCATTCCACAGCACTGATCGCAGATGATTGTAAGCAACTGAGACTAGGAATATCTGACTCTTCGACTTTGAATGCTCGGATTAGCCCATTCGGTTTTTGTCACAGGCACCAAGCAGTGTTAATGATCTTGGAGTGCCCAAAAAGGCCGAAACAGCTATCCAGTGCTCTTTGTCGGTCATCATAAAGATTTCCATCGCATTTCAATATCTGCGATCCTACTAAATGAACTTAGAAATCTTTGCGTATTTATGTTACGGAAGCTGTTTCACTACACTTCCTATTTTTCAGGATGTATCTGTTAGAAAAGACGACCAGATACCTTTACTTCGATAGGGCTTATTCGTGTAATAGCTTCAGTGCCTCGTCGTCAAACGTTTCTGTCAGTAACGCGAGGTTTGAAGTTCAGACCCGTGTCACTGTCGTCGAAATATGATAGACAGCTTTTGTTTGCCGATTCAACACCACACCCACTTTATTACGATAGATGTGCCTTATGATTTCCGTATCTTCGTGACCCTGCGAGCTATACAGGGTGGCTCCTCGAAGCCGCAGATCCAGTCATGGTCAATAGATAAAGAGCAGACAAAGCTCAATCTCCCCAAACCACTGTCTAAGGCAACCCAATCCACTTTCACCCCTGAAGAAGTCAATTTAGTAGATAAACACAGGAAGGGGCAGTTTACCTGTCAAAAACCCTGTGAGACGGATATAGAGGCAGAGTGACTGGGGCTTCCTCCAACGATGGGAGACGTTTTCACGGTTCCTGGTAAAGTTACCCCCAATTAAGTTGAGCAGCCCCCATCCAATAGGGTGATATCCTGTCTATGTTACGCCTTTCTCATTGGGTGAATGATACAACGGGCCAGTCCCTAACCGCAGACCGTCAATCAACGCACCAGCGAACAACACACTGAACCGAAATCCAAAGGCCTTGCGTGGCAGGCCTCTAGAAGTTCCTCTATAGGTTATTCGGTCACGCTTCCGCGTGGAGTTTACACCGCACTACCTTGTCGGACAGAATTTTGAGTCAGACGATCAGGTTAGGGTTCGCACAGAGTACCCCTTCGTCGGTGTGGGCTACCGCGAAGTATGTTTTGCTCTAAAGTATTAGGTACCTACTTGGAGAATCCTCTTTCCCATTTGTCTATTTCCTCTTCTCACTTCCAAATTTTCGAGATACCTTCTGTTTGCACCACCCACGGGTTATCACTCAGCGTTCAAGTAGTAAGGTCAACCAACCAGAAGCTATCAGATTTTCACTTTGCTTCATCAATTGACAAGCACACTATCAGATCGATCACCAAGGCGCCTTATCTGGAACCAGTGAAACTTTCAAAACAGATGTATGTTGTATCTCCGAAACCCGCATATAAGACCCTACTTCAGCAATCACTTACACGATCTGTAGATCCGACCTCATCCTCATGGTTCACTCTTCGTACGTCAGTTGATTCGGTATCCGAAGCTCGAAGTGTTGCTGATGTCGGGATCGCGCTGTGTCCAGGCTGAGCGCTCGCTTCTTGACTGGTGTCCAGTCGGTAGCCGACTGTGCGCTGTGCATCTAGATGGTTCAGCACGGGCCAACAGCTACAGAACAAAGCGTCAGTGTCTATTCGTCCTATCCGTGTATACACCGACTGTTTTCAGGGAGCCAGAAATGAAGCATGAATTCTTTAAGGACCTCTTTTGACTCCCGCAAAGTGCTCGGTCAACTTACATCGTAGTATTCGCTGGAGACTTCAATGCTAAAATGGGATCCTTTAACTAGTCAGAAGGGTTTCTTGATTGTTCACATGCGATCCCGGCCAACTCGTATTTTTCGCGGACCACGGATTGTTTCCGTCAAGCACCAACTTCTGGCACAAGAAGGGACACCGCCAACGTGTTCACATCGATAGACTGGGATCGACCATATTGCCATTAGCTACCTATGAGTCTCTGTTGACGACCGCCGCTCTTACCGCTCAACACCCGTTGACACAGACCACGCTCTACTACGAGCCACGTTCTCCCTACGCCTAATAACAACAGCAGAATGGCCACCGAGAACGGATACCTACGATACTATGTCAGCGTTAACTGCAAATCGCCAATCGAAGAGGAACCATCTGATCGCCGTTCAGCTCGACCATCAACCAATGGACTCAGTGAACATTTTTTCATTACCGAAAGAAACGATTCGCATGTCAATCCAAACCACAGCAGATTCTGGTGCACGATCAAAACAAAAACGATGGACCTTGATCGCCCTGTTGGGCGCTCGCAAAGCCATTCCTTCTGATGCCAAATACGGCCGAGCGCGTAAATCGCTTTAACACCAGATAATCAAAAGCTTGAGGAATGGTCGCGTGAAGTGATGAATCGGAAAGTGTAGAGAGATGGAGAAGACTGCGGCTATCGGTAATAGGCGCATTTTTTCCTTTTAACTAGAAGTTGGGATCCAAGGAAGGTGGGCGTAAGTGAGGTANAATTAAGGAGTCTGACGGCACACTGATTCATATTCACCAACACCGTCTTGAACTTTGAGCATTGCATTTTAAGGCACGATTCAGCTGGCCCTCGTCGACAAAAGACCTCTCTAAGCCTGCGTCAACTCGGCAAATATTTCCTTTTCCCATCACTTTTCCATGTGAAATAGAGTTTACCGGAAAATCCGTTACCAAAAAGCATATAAGCCCTCCGGCTCGACCGGTCTGTCCCTATCGGTTTTCAATGGTGGAGGTTTGGCCGTCGTTTTATAGTTAANTAGTTAACGAAACTCCTGGGTTCAGTGCAGAAGAGCGAGCAAGTTCCAAAAGAGGGGTGTGAATCGGTCATCTTACCGAATTAAAAGAAAAATGATATATTCTCTTGTGAAAGCCATTGTGGAATTAGTTTAGTCAACGTTGTCTCTGAGCTTCGCTTGGTGTTATATTCCGTAGATTGCCTGCCGCACGTGAACTGTGCACCCATGAGAAACGAGGTTGTGTCGACCACATCTTCAGTCTTCGCTAAATTCTCGAACATCATAATTATTTTCGTAGGCCAACTATCTCTGTCTTCCTCGACTTGGAAGCTGCTTTCCACTCATTTGACCGCTCTAAACTCTGGCGCTGCCTCGCTCTAAAGAGTGTACCCGAGAAGCTTAATTCAGTATTACAATCCCCTTATACTAATAGCCGAAGTGGAGTCCGAGCCAACGGCAATTTTTCACCCGAGTTCACCACGGAAAGTGGTTATCGACAGGACTGCACTATCTCTCCATTTCCATTCAATTTTGTCAAAGATTTAATTCTTGAAACAGCCCTATTCTCGTGCAAGAATAGTGGTATCGATTTACTCCCAGGTGGCAGGCTGTCTGATTTAGAGTATGTAGACGACATTGTACTACTAAGGTAAGTCGCAAGCTTTTCCGGATAGTTTGAGTGCTAGTGTAGCCATGTTTGGTATGCGTTTTGCACCTTCAAAGTGTAAAATGTTGCTCCAAGATTGGGTTAGTCCAGCACCCAGTCTCACCCTAACTGGGGAAGTAGACAAATTTTGCTATCTGGGCAGCTGTGTCACCTGGCCGACGCATCACAGATGAAGGTTCGCTTGGCATTTACGAACTCGAGACATTTGTGGCGCCGTCGCGACATCCGGCTATCTTTGAAGAGTCGAGTGTATGCTGCTGCTGGGTTAGTTCTGCTCTACGGTCCAGAGACTTGGCCACTACGGGAAGAGGATACAAATAGATTGTCGGTATTCGAACACCGCTGTCTACGTCGCATTGCACGAGTCTGGTGGGATAAACGGTTGAGCAATGCTGAGGTCAAGCATAGAGTTTTAGGCAGTCGCGGTCGTCCACTGCAGCAAGTGATCGACCTGCATAGATTACGTTGGTTGGGGCGTGTGTTACTCATGTCACCAGATAGGTTACCGCGGCGAGGGAGGTTTGCCAAGGCTGGTAGCGGTTGGAAAAAGATAGAGGGTGGTCAAACTAAGACCTGGCATGAGGGTATGAAAACCCCAACCAGGAGACTAGGTCACATAGGCCGCGTTAGGCTCCATGACTGTGGACCACGGGATGATCGTACCCGATGATTAGGGAGACTGAGTGATATGGCTGGGTGTCGTAAACAGTGGCGTCCGTGTTTCTCAATTTCTTTGCAACATTAGTCCACTGAGACTCTTTATTTTTCTATTCCTTTCTACTTTCAACTTTTCTGTCTTTCCCTCACTGTTCATCCAAATGAGCTACCAAAACCGCCACGCGAAGATGCATTCCAATGGTTGTTCAAACTGAAAACCTGAAATATTTTGTCAGTTCAATTTCATTCTCAGGTTGTTTGCTCAATGTATCTCAACACAACTGTATATAGTCCTGAAATGTTTTTTAGGGGGCAAATAATCCCTTTGGTCGCATTTTGCTATAGCTACGTTTTGGTTCTTCACTCAGATAACTGATTCCTGCTTAATTGATGACGACAGTGTGAGTTCCACTGACCATGGTATACAAGCTTCTATTGAAGTGACCTATTCCAGTGCTCGCATGTTTGTTGTTCAGTTTGGAAATTATTGAGTAGCGTACATCTGGGTCAGGTAGGGAGACCTACGTAAGATAACAAATTTTAACATGTATATAACCGGTCGGTTGACATACTTTTTGCAATTGTGGATCCGTTATACTCATCGTTGCTGATATATTCTTCTTTCCTTATGCGTATCCTTCATTTCAATTTCTATTATATCTTTACTTTTACCAGGTTTTTATGTCACTCTGGTTAGCGATCTTTTTGATTTATGCGATCGATATCTCCCAACTGCTACCCAGTGCGTTAAATTCGCTTATATGGCCCCGCAATGTGGAAACATCATTGAGTGCAATCAAACCACCACAACGCCATGACAAATCCGATTTCGATGCGAAATATGGGTCAGATAGTGGTGGAGTGGATTCGGAATTGGCTTCGACTAAACTGACTACTACCTCAATGCCACAAACCACAACAACTTCTACCACTCGAAGATTTTCTCCCTCGGACTTGGACTCTTACGAATCAGCTCAGTTAAAGTCTGATATGCTGACCCTGTTCAATGAGTTTCCGTTGGCACATGTTCTTCGACATCCAACCCAGGCTACATGGAACCAGTTGCTTCTGTGGAACTACTTGGCTTTTTATCACTGGCCTTTGCTAGCGAAACACTACAATCTCAGTTTGGCCGGTTATCATTCTGTGTTGCTTGAACCGGTGCATTTGCAATATCGCATTGAAGTGGAATCCATGCCAAACGCAGATAATCCATCCGGGTTAGTCGGTTTTTCTTCTTACGAACAGTCTGTGGTGTGCAATTAAACGGTTATAGCTTCACCCCTAGGGTTTTATTGAAATGAAACCAGAGAATATGACACTGTGTCACAGCACCTTTTTGCTTGATCAGCCCATTACTACTTTATTAAATTCAATTTCTGATCTGTGTTGTCTTGCCTATTGTGTCTAACGAGGAACGAGCAGGATTCGATAAGGTAGGGGTTGACCGACCAGTGCACTCTCTCAGAATTCAACAAGTTTCTTAGGGAGAATATGTACAGTACTGGCCGATTGTGATGCAGTATAATATTTTCTTTATGCTCAAAGGGAGTTTCATTATATTTATCACCCATATTAATGCTTTAGGTATGGACAATAATTTATATCTTG